AACTACGTTGAAAGTAAAGGTGAAAGTTAAGGAACGGTTACCTTCAGATCACGTTCTATGGGATTGTGCCACTGTGGGGATGTTGAGAAGCTCTTTGAAGCAATTGTTAATCTACCACAGCATTTCATTTTTCAGCCATAATTTGAAGATTTTTCTTTGATACCATGTATCTTTTTATGCTGAATAAATGGGAAAAGAGTTAGGTACCCTCGAAGAAATATGCTTTTCCTGTTAGAATATATGGGACTTTAGTGTCCCCAATTTGGTAAAACACATCTAGGAGTTTGGTGTCCCCATACCCCTATTTGGGTAATTTCATTCGTTGTTCCAACGAGTAAGTACAACTAAGAATCAGACTCATGTGTATACATGGAAACATACGTGAAATTATAGTAGATGAACAAATGGCCGCCACCTAGAAAAGACCAGACCCAAATCCAAAGCTCAACCTAAAATGTAACCATAACCATACCAAAAAACCAGGAAAAACAAAAAAGGCAAACCCCAGCGCAGGATATACCCCAAAACAAGCCCCAAAACAAGCCCCAAACCAAGAATCAAAACCCCAACCTAGAACCTATGTTTAAAAAACCCAAAACCAATCCAATAACGTATCCGAAATAAAAACAGTCCTAAAACCAGGTACTATAAATTTGGTTTAGGAAACAAATCTACTATATATATAAAAGCTGATGGAAAAATCAGCTTCAATTGCACTCATCAATTTTCCCGCCAAAAATTCTGATCGTATGGCTAAGATTACTTGGATACACATGGCACATCCACATTAAATCTAAACCAGAAACATATACATGCACTTATGGACAAAAGTGTATTGACAAACAACTGATACTGCCACTGCCTGAATTACAACACTGCCTCAATTTCATAAACAACAAGTTTGAGTAATTCAGGGATATGAGTCACAAGATATAAAGATAGCGTTTGAGAATTACCGTTACTAATCGTAGGTTTTCTTCCTTCAATGTTTCACTCTTCAGAAGTTACTCAAGAGGTCATTGTCTTAGGGCAATAGTCATTTGACTTTTCATCTTGTGGTTGAACGTATTTGAGTACAACGAATCTAACTATTCATGAGTATCAATATGTCATGTCATCATCAGACTGAGTACGTTCTTGTTTGCAGGTAATCCATTTTACTGTACCTATTTTGGCTAGTGATAATTACTTTTCTATCAATGGTCCGGTTTTAGATGATATATATATCATGATCATGGAAAGAGTATCTCATATTCCCACATTATGGAAGGCACTTCTCGAAGACTTCCTTATACCATAAGATTCGTTGGTCTACTTGGTAGTCATTCTCTTGGTAGAAATCCAAAGTTTATGGCTACTGCGGTAGATTTAGGAAGGGAATTGATAAGGCGAAAGATTAAACTTGCCTATGGAGGAGGTAGTGTTGGCCTTCAAGGAGCTGCTGCTTCAACAGTCTTTACCAATGGTGGTCTCGTTAGAGGTTTCATTCCTGGTTACATAGCAACACGAGGTGTCTACGGACCTACGTACGGTGCAGAGCATACAGTTTCCAGCAACTATTATAAGTATTTCGAGATGAATCACGCCGTGGAAGCTTTCATCATTCTTCCCGGAGGAGTTGACACTATGGAAGGTTTGTTCACCTTGATCTCGTGGGCTTCTGAAGGGTTACACAATAGACCCATTGGTCTTTTGAACATTGACGGTTATTTCAATAACCTAATCAAGTTTTTTAGATGATGCGGTGAGGCAGAACTTCATGGCTTCCAGTCAAAGAAAACTTTTCATTTCTTCTTTCTTTGTTGGTGAGCTTTTAGACAAGTTAGAGTTCGCTAAAGCTTTTCCGGCTTTTGGGGCTAATTATGACGAGTTCGCAAATCCCGGGGAATTAGACTTAGAATTGCATCTGTAACTTTCCTCATGTAATCCAATTTGTATTTTGTGTTGAAATAATATTATCCGTAAATATTATTTAACGTTGTATGCCAGCGCGAACTACATTTTCTTCATTCTTCAGTCTTTCATTGTTGGTGTCACTGTTTAACGTCATATCGTCACCACAGTCGCGATCTTTCACGTCAAAATGATATCCGAACGAGTCAATATCTTATTGATTTGTCTTGTCAACATCACTTTACTTCATTTATTCAATCAGACTACATTAACGTTTCTGATGATAAGTAATTAGTTCATTAATCGCTTCATAACAAGGCATCAGTTCATTCAACAAGGTGGAGTTGTCTATAGCTTTTAACAAGCAGATTCTTTGTATCTGACCGAACAGGTTGTTAGTTCGTAGTAAAGGATAACAATTCTCGATCGTCAGTTTGTTCGAATTTCCTATCAAGGATTTGTGAGTATCTTGACCGTAAGTCAATCTTAGAGAATACAATGAATTCTCTTAGCTGATCAAATAAGTCATGATACGAGGTAAAGGATAACGAATTATTTAATCGACACTAGTTGATATAGAGTTTCATTTATTCGCGTATGAACAGAACAAGAATTCTCCCAAGGAGGAAACACTTGGTCAGATGATTCTTTGTCAGGAAGTCATTGATGAGAACACGTTCAATATAGAGTTACGAATATTGGTCCTTTCTCGGATCAAGATTGGCAGGGAATTCAATTTCTCGGAAC